GGGACTCGATCCCAGGACCCTGGGATCATGACCTGAGCCGAAGGCAGACGCTTAACCATCTGAGCCACCCAGGCGCCCAATTTTATGATTTTTAAAAAAGATTTTATTTATTTTAGAGAGTGAGGGAGTGTGCTTGGGGTGGGGGGAGGGACAGAGGGCAAGAATCTGAAGCTGACTCTGTGCTGAGCGCAGAGCTCTAGTTGGGGTTCAATCTCACGACCCCGAGATCATGACCTGAGCCAAAACCAAGAAAGAGTCTGATGCTTAACTGATTAAGCCACTCAGGCACCCCTAATTTTATGATTTTATGTACATGTGTGACACTTGGAATATGGTAAACTGCCATTTGGGCAGATTCTGTGTCTTACTTAATTTACAGTTTTAGTTCTTAGTATAGTAAGCAGTACCATTAGTTGATTATTTCTCTTCATTTGACTAACTCATATCTGTTGTAGCATTTGGACATTTGCTGCCTGAAGCTGTATAGTCCTGACAGTTTCTAAAATATATGAAATCTTCCTAATTTAGTTTCAAAGCAAATATTTAAGTAATTTAGGTAAAGTTTAGTTATTGAATAGTTTATTCCTAAGTTTCTTATGTAAATACATTATGTTTATATTGGTTCAATTGACTTCACTGTTAAATAATGTGGATGATATTTCTTTCCTAACTTTAATGAAGGACTGTTATTTCAGGCCACTTGAGTATCCTTTAGTACAAATCTGAGCAAACTATAGCCCTTGAGCCAAATCCAGCATGCTGCCTGTTTTTGTCAATAAAGTTTTACTGGAACGCAGCTATGCTTATCCCTGTATGTATTGTCTGTGGCTACTTTTGCGCCAGAAAGGCAGAGTTGGGTAGTTATGACAGAACACTATATGACCAACAGAACTTAAAATATTTACGCTCTGGCTTTTTGTAGAAAAATTTGCCAAACCTTGCTTTAGAACATTAGTGACTATGGATTGCCTTATATATCTATATTCAGGCTCTCAAGGGAATCTTTGGACCAATTCTCTTTATGTTCACAATTCATTTAGTCAAACATTTATTGAGCACCAGTTTTATGCTAGACACATTTCTAGGTGCTGGAGATACCAGGAGGGAACAGTGAACAAGACACATAAAGTTTCTGTCCTCGTGAAGTTGTTATTTGAATGTAGGGGAGACAGATAATTAAACATGAAGATTGTCCTCTTAAAAAGAGTGGATTTTTTTTCTGATTAGAGGGATCATGGATTTATTAACAAAATATGATACTGACTTAGGTTTGCCACATATATTGAACCTAGGGTAAATATTATATGGGGTACAGTGTCCATTGTTATTGAGACTTATTTTCGAAATTGGTGAAGTTTGTGGAGGTCACTCTTGCTTTTGGGTTGTTTTGGGTTCTTAATCTGTTATTAAGTTGAATTCCTCACTGTGGATGTTAGGGGCTCAATAATTGTATGTCAAATTCATTGGATAGCTGTATGTTAAATTTTCTGTTAGAGAAATTTAGTGCGAAAATAAAAAACATATATATTTAACACATATCAAATACTCTGCTATATAATTTATATATCACACCTCGTTTACTCCTAGTAACTCTATGAGTTATTATTATAATTCCTTTCTTTGGGATGATAAAACCAGAGTTCAGAGAGGCATGGTGAAGCAGTTCAAGGATGGCACCTGTTCATATTAGCATCTTGGCCTGGCTCTCTCCAGGGCTGGAGCTCCAGGCCAAAGTGCTGCTTAATCCTCTTCTGAGATTTGCAAGTAAGTGTTTTCAAGTTGGCATTAATCTAAATGGAACTTTACTTTTAATTGCCCTTTTATCCTTTTTCTTCTTTCTTTCTTTTGACATTTGAAGATATAGGAGATAATTTTTTTCTTCTTTTTCATTGTGTTTTTAAGATAATAATATAATCCAGGAAAGTGAAAAAGAAGGAATCTGCAAAGATAAAACTCAAGTAAACATAACACAGCAAGGAAGAAAGCGATTAATTTCATCAGGAGGTTCAGAAAGTACATCTGTAGAACAAGACACAGGGAAAAAGTGCAAAAATGCTGATCAGGAAGAGTCTGTCACTTCATCCAAGGTGATTTTTTTTTTTTAATTATTATTTGGGGGTGCCGGGCTGGCTCAGTTGGTAGAGTGTGTCTCTTGATCTGGGGGTTATAGGTTTGAGCCTCACATTGGGTGTAGAAATTACTTAAAAATAAAAATCTTTTTTTTTTTTTTTTAAGATTTTATTTATTTATTTGACAGAGAGAGACACAGTGAGAGAGGGGACACAAGCAGGGGGAGTGGGAGAGGGAGAAGCAGGCTTCCCGCCGAGGAGGGAGCCCAATGCGGGGCTCGATCCCAGCACCCTGGGATCATGACCTGAGTTGAAGGCAGACGCTTAAAGACTGAGCCACCCAGGTGCCCCTTAAAAATAAAATCTTAAAAAAATTTATTATTTGATCATTTGTTTTCTTCATCAAGTGTTCTAGATAAGAATTGATTATATATTGTATACCGCAAGAAAAAACCAGAACTGTTCTTTATTACTGAGTTTATGAAGATAATAAGTAGCCCAGATTTTTTTGGCTTACTAAAATTAATATAGTACTTGCTTTGTAGAAAACAAATCTATTTAATTTAGAAGTTTTCAGACTGGAAAAAAAGTGGAGACCACTTGACTGGTTGTAATTGGTACCTTCATTCTGAAAACCTGTTTTTTTTTATTTTATTGGTCATTCTCAGACTACATGTAACCACCTTTTTCTTGATACCTATGAAGAACAACTGATAGGCTAGTTCTTAATAGCCTGTTGCAGGATTACTTCTGCGCTAATTTACAGTATTTGGAAAAATTCTCTTTCCTCTTTCAGTTTTTGCTAACTCACTAGAATGGTTTGACTGACCTAAGCATTCTTTAACATTGGGTACTTAATGAAAATGGGGCCTATTATTGGATGCCTTTAAAAAAAGAGAATAGGAGAGAGAGCGTGCAAATGAGTGAGCAAGCCCAGGGCAGGTCAGGTATTTTTCCTCTTAAGAGCGCGGTGGCTTTAGGTAATAGTTTTCATGATCGTTATAAGCTCCATGGGTTTCCATCTTTTTAGTGTCAGTGGGAGCCAAAGGAGTAGGATTGGTTTTAGAATAGTGTACACTGGAATGATTGAAATGCTGTTAGCTCTTCCGGAGGGTTGGGACTTTCATAGTTCTCACTGGATCCTTTCTTCTAGGTAGGGAAATGGGGTCTAATCCCTATCGGGTCAACTCCATGGCTTACTTATGGAGTCAGGTTTAATAAATGAAAACATTTTCTGACTCACTTGTATTGACCATAACAAGTTATTAAGATAAAATTTGTTTAACTTTGAGCCCTAGTATGCTCTATTCTCTGAACATATTAATATGACTGCCTGTTTTTTTCAAAAAAGAGAAGTTTTTTGTTTTTTTTTCCAGAAGAAAATCTGTAGTGTACGTATTTTGCTATGTTTATCCCAACCCATTACCCAAGTTTGGCAATGACAAGTGAAACTTAAGAAACACTTTTCTTAACTGATAGATTGCAGAGAGGAGCAGTAAACAGATCCAAGATATTTGAGGTATTTGTGAGATTTTGATGAGACATACATTGGACTACATATAATTTTGTGACTCTACTAATATCTGGTCATAAAGATAATTGCTCTGAAATTGTTCATATTTCTCATTAATTCTCTTGCATCTTTCTGCAGCTCCTTATGGGTTATGTAATTGTCCAGTTTGGGAGTGAACATGAGGGGCTTGAATCTACTAACTTTAAAGAAATAATCTACATAATTTACATAATCTAATTTGGTCTCTGTTATAAACGACAGAAGGAAGCCTAACTGAAACAACTGAAGCAAGTAGTGTTATAAAGCAATATCAAGTGTTGCTGGGAAGCCAGCTACCCTAACATTTAGTGACTTAACAATGTTTTATTCTTATAATTCTGTGAGTTGGCTGGACTCCCCGTTGGGTATTTCTTTTGTGACGTCTTTTTGGTGTTGAGCTGGGCTACATTCAGTTGGGAACTCAGGTGAGGCTGGAGCATCCAAAATGGCTTCACTTGCATGAATAGTGCCTCCATGAGGGTTGACTGAATGACTGGTGGCTGGCTGGGCCTCCCTTTCTCCACTTAACCAGTAAGTAGTCTAGGCCAAACATCTTCACCTGACAGCTGGATTCCAAGGGTATCAAAGTAGAAGCAACTATTCTCTTAAGGCCTAGGATTGGAACTGGTACAGTGTCATTTTGGCTGCATTCTTTTGGTCAGAGCAAATTACCAGGCCAGCCTGGATTCAAGGGGAGGGGATAAGAACTCCACTGCTTGATGGCAGGAGTAATTTGTGTATAAAGGGATGGGAGGAATTGCTGGCGGTCATCTTTGATAACTATCACATAAAGATAGAGGAATAATTCAGTTTCCAGAATGGAAAGGAAAACAGCAGGAAATATAAGTCATAAAGACCAGTTGGGACAAGGGACTTGATCAAAATCATGTTGATTTTCACCTCTCGAATCATCCTTCACTGCTGATGGCAGGCTTGCTTCACATGGTGTACAACATGGGCACTGGTAGCTCCAGGCTCATGTCATCTCGTTTTTCAACTTAAGAGGAAAAATGAGAGTTTCTCTGTGGTTGCTTCTGTGGTAAGTTCTAGGGACTTGGATCACGAAATCTCCACTTAGACCATTCACAGTGCTCAGAAAGATGAAGTAGTATCATTACCCCTTTTTGGGTCATGTATACACCCATTATCAGACAGATGGAGGAAAGGGGGTCTAGAAAGAAATAAATAGTAGGTTATGTAGTATTTTTGGGGCAGGGGGATGCTATAGTTAGATCTGCATAAATTCAGAGAGGGGGAGAAACTGGTAGTTTTTAAGTTGGTCGAGATTAACCTAACAAATGAGGTTTCGAATTGTTGGAAACGCTTGGGATATACCATAAGGTGAAAGAGCAGATGTGAGGAAGAAGGGACTTTCAGAATTTCATGCATCTAGAGGGGAGTCTCTTGTTTTGACTTGGCCTCTGTTGAGCAGTCAGGTGTCAACGTGGTCAGTTAAGACAGAGAACCAAATTGAAAATAACTCAAGCCTTTCTTCACTTAGTGCGACAGGCAAGCAAAAGGGGAAATGACTTGTCGGCTCCCCAGTGTTCCGTTTTGTCCCATGGAACAGCACTTGGCAAGAGTCAGCAGCATAGGTGTGGAGAATCCTCTAACTGCTGAGGAGCCCTGGACCAAATGCTTCTGCCTCTTTCTAGACAAGGATGAAGGAGAAGAGGAAGAGCTAGGAGTGAAAAGATACTGAATCAAAGTACAGAAAAATGCCTCATCCAAAGCCCCCCATAGGGAGGATCCTTGGGAAGGGCCTAACACAATCACACACCCCTCCCCCACACCTACCAAAGAGGCCTCTGTAAAGAGGTACCTGGGCTAGGAATGCACCATAAGCATGGCTAAACCACTGAGGCTTGGGTCCTTGATTGCAACTCTCTCCAGAAAACTGTGACACACTGGCTGTGCACCATGTCTGTTGTGGGGAGGGCAGCAAAGCCTTGAAATTATCTAAGCTTGGACCTGAAGGATCATAATGGGACTTTGGCCTAGAGCCAGACTCCTCAGTCTGCACCTCGCTCTGCTGACTACTGTTCCACATAAGTTCCAGACAGAGAGGCCTGAGTATCCTCCAGCCAGGTGCTGTCTATTCCTTTTAATCTGAGTTAGAGTCCCTACCTTGAATCCCATCTGCTTTTCTGTTTTTTTTTTTTTTTTGACCGTATAGCATTTTATTTTGTTTTCCTTTTTTAAAATTTAAATTCAATTAACATATAGTGTATTATTAGCTTCAGAGATAGAGTTCAGTGATTCATCAGTCTTATATAATACCCACTGCTCATTACATCATGTGCCCTCTTTAATGTCCATCACCCAGCTACTCCAACCCCCAACCCCCTCACCTCCCCTTCAGCTACCCTAAGTTTGTTTCCTATGATTAGGAGTCTCTTGGGGCACCTGGGTGGCTCAGTCAGTTAAGTGTCTGCCTTCAGCTCAGGTCATGATCTCAGGGTCCTGAGCTCCGATGTAGCCCCCCTACATCGGGCTCTCTGCTCAGTGGGGAGTCTGCTTCTCCCTCTCGCTCTCCCTCTGTGCTCTCTCTCTCTCAAATAAATAAAATCTTAAAAAAAAAAAAAGAGTTTCTTATGGTTTGTTTCCCTTTCTGATCTCATCTTTTGTTTTTCCCTCCCTTCCCCATGATCCTCTGTTTTTTTTCTTAAATTCCACGTATGAATGAGATCATATAATTGTCTTCCTCTGATTGACTTATTTCGCTTAGCCTAATACCCTCTTGTTCCATCCACATTGTTGGAAATGGCAAGATTTCATTTTTTTTAATGGTTGGGTAGTATTACATTGTATATATATATATATATATAACACATCTTCTTTATCGCTTCATCTGTTGATGGACCTCTGGGCTCTTTCCATAGTTTGGCTATTGTGGACATTGCTGCTCTAAACATTGGGGTGCAGGTGCCCCTTCGTTTCACTACATCTGTATCTTTGGGGTAAATACCCAGTAGTTTAAGTGCTGGGTCATAGGGTAGTTCTATATTTAACTTTTGAGGAACCTCCATACTCTTTTCCAGAGTGGCTGTACCAGCTTGCATTCCCACCAACAATGTAGGAGGGTTCTCCTTTCTCAGCATCCTCACCAACATTTGTCATTTCCTGACTTGTTAATTTTAGCCATTCTGACTGGTGTGAGGTGATATCTCATTGTAGTTTTTATTTGTATTTCCTGATGCCCAGTGATGTTGAGCATTTTTTCATGTGTCTGTTGGCCATTATTTCTGTGTCTTCTTTGGAGAAATGTCTGTTCATGTCTTCTGCCCATTTCTTGATTGGATTATTTGTTCTTTGGGTGTTGAGTTTGATAAGTTCTTTATAGATTTTGGATACTAGCCCTTTATCTGATAAGACATTTGCAAATATCTTCTCCCATTCTGTTGGTTGTCTTTTGGTTTTGTCGACTGTTTCCTTTGCTGTGCAAAAGCTTTTTATTTTGATGAAG